CGACTGTTTCAGACTGCTTCTTGACACGACTTGAACTACTGACTCCTTGCCTACTCCTGAGGCGCAGTATTTATTAAGTATGGCATAGTCCTTTATTATTATTATGGGTAAGATCCCATAACAGCATGCTAGCAATAAATTCTTTAACTGTTGCAGGTCACATTCCTGAGGTTCTTCAGTACAAACCTGTTGGTCCAATGCATTCCATAAGGGATCAATAGGATTTAGTTCTGAGGAGTTCTGTGGCCAGAGCAACAAAGTGAAGTATTCATTGTTTTCCTGTCATGTTGAAAGACTATACTGTCATCAAAGAAGACAGTTTACCATGAAAGAGTCTACCTGGTCTTCAATAGTATTGATGTATGCAGTATATGACAGAGTATCTTCGATATGAATGATAGGATTCAGTGTTTATCAGAAGAATGTTGCCCATCACACTGCTCCTACTGATTTGTTGTTTTACCCAAAGTGGATATTGATTCTATTGGTTTCTCAGGACAGTGAGCTATATCCTGTTGTCCACATCAAGAAGTAAGTGTCACTCATTGGACCATTGACACAGGATTTAGTTCCAATGATCACATACTGATTGAAGATGCTTTTAATGAAATGCATTTGTTATCATGTGTACAGTGTATGGTATGTGGCTATAAAAACCTATACAAAACAAGTATTGATGTACAGTGTATTGCAGTGCATTTCTTCATTCATGTTGATTAAATCTATCAACAATTTGTTGGCTTGTACTTGGTAGAAAAGCCTCCATTTACTTCTTGCATTAATATGTTTTGGCTGTTCAATACTGTGTAAGTAGCTGATGATTTTCACTCCTCTGACCACTACTGAGAGTTACTTATAACAGTGTAACATTATAATTATAAAGACTAATAAGAACATGAGACTAAATCTCTCATACATAATATTATTTTTGTTATACATCTCAAATCTTTGTCAATCAATATCATGAAGTGAGTGTGTAACTTGAGAGCTTTCTCCAAATATAGGTCTCCTTCTTGCAAGGATGCAGGAGACTGTATCACTTCCCTCTCAGGTGGGGCACTTATCCTATATATCTTCCTGTCATCCGGTTGGCCCATGTTCACATCCTAAACAAAGTTGGGTCAGCTGCCCGTTTACATGTTGGTGACAGCCACTGACATACTTTGAAGTGTAAATTTGCACCTGGTGGCTATAAGGTTACCTTCCAGGTCAACCCTCTGATACACCTGACTTTTCTGATGATCTGGTGGGACACTGAATACTACTTTGGTATCTCTTAGAATGGGCCCAGTTTTAAACAGAATTATCCTAGATCAATTTTGGACACAGGTTCTTTATTAACGTTAAATTTAACCATCTGGTAATTCCTGTCATGTTTCCATATTAAAACTGAATGTGAACACTCCACAAGCTGTGCTATTTCCCAAATGCATTTGACCTAGTCTTCTGGCAATAACAATTTGGCCTTTATCAAGTCATTCAATTTTTATTCTTGGCTGTAACTGTGGTATTCAATACATTAAAATTAAATAAATATATATATATATATATATATATATATATATATATATGAACCTATATGTAATATAAGAGACCTATTAAGTATATATTTATTTTATTATTTTTATTTTAAATCTTTTAATTTTTAACTTTTATTTTTTAATTAATTTTTTAATTGGTATTTATTTATAATGCTAATTATGGCATATTTTAATATATTACTATTAAATATATATTGTTTTAATAAGAACAAGTAATCTCCCTTTAATTATATAATTTAAAAGAAAATTAAAATATGAATATTCCCTACACAAATATATAATTTTTTTTATTTTCTTATTTTTCATGCATATATAAATCCCATTTATTTCAATTGCCAAATATAATTTTAAAATTAAATCAAATATATTATAATTCAAAATTGTGTCAGTTCATACTCAGCAGCTTAAGATTGAGTCATGCAAGAGGTGAGAGATAATATGTATATTTATTAATCTATACTTAATAGGTCTGTTATATTACATCAAGTAGTTTTATTAACACCAGCACTATATGTGTGATATATTATAATTATATATAATCTGAAGATTGCATTGAAATGTGAAACTGACTCTCATTATGCAGTGATGATTCCTATGTCCATACATACATACATATATATATATATATATATATATATATATATATTATATTATATATATATATATATGACAAAACTTTGGAGGGAAAAAACCAACATTTCTGCTAGCATGGTTTCACAACCCTTGTATTGTTTGGTAGTAAGTTAGACTATCTGGAAACATTACACGGAAAGTCTGACTTACTGCCCGATAATACCAGGTGTAGTGGAAGCATGCTATCAGAAAGATTGGTTTTCCTCTTTAATGTCATAAATTGCTCTGCATTTTTGTTATTTGAATTTGCATTGAGCACTTTGTATTCATATAACCATTTTTGATAAATAGTTAATTTGTCAATTTTTTTAATTGAATTATATATATATGTATATATCACTAGTTTTATGACTGTCTCGTTTCTAGGCTGGATAGTTGACAAGTATATTGATTTGTATAATCTATGTACAAGCAAATCAATATATCAAATTAATGTATATAACAAACATTGTTACTTTTTCTATTTTTTACATTTTTCTGCCCATAACTGCTGTCATGTTAAAACAGTCAGATAAGAAGTTAGTACAGCAAACACACTGACACAAAGCAAGCTTCTCTGTTCATAACTGCTGCTCGTAATATTGTTACTTCTATGATTACAACGGCTGCTGCTACTGCTGTAGATGATGATAATAATCTTAGCACATCAAACAATTACAGACATCTTATATTTCTTATAAATAAAATTTCTGTTTTTCTCATGTTAAAGAATAAATTAATTTTTTTTATCCAAGTCTCTTGTCTGATTGTTTTAAAATTATTTTTTTTCAATTTGTATAATTTATATCTTATAATTTTAAAAATAGCCATGAAATTTCCATGTGTACAAATACTACACTCTGATCCTAGATAGAAATCTGAGGGATACATTAAAAAAAAAAAAAATGAAAAAACTCTTACAGTAAATATGTAAATTTATGGTTGAGCTTCTTTTTATAAAAAACATTCTCACAGAAATGCACATATAACTGAAATTTTCACAGGTGATAAATAGTTTAAAATATTTCATTATAACTATCATAAATTCCTGAAGAAATAGTAAAATTAAAATAACAAACTTTAATTATAAATTTTAATTTTATCATTTACTATTAAGATAACAGTAAATGTAGTTATGTCTTTCTGTATATGTGTGCATATGTTTATATGTTTGCCTATTGATTTTCTATGTTTATGCTGTTTGGAGGGATAGTTTGTGTTGTCTCTGTTGTTATTTGGATGATTGAATCTTGATGAGTCTCTCTATATGTCATTCGTATATTTGCGTGCTCATATATTCAATCATATTTACATGTTTGTGTATTATGATATTATGTCTGTCTGTCTTGTCACCAATAAACCTTTCTCCCTCATTCACTAAATCTCTAATCACAACCCTGTCAATGTAACTTATTTTGAAGCCATATACTGCACCTCTTACTTCTACCTCAGATTCAGATGGAACATTTAACATATTACTAAGAACAATACATGAAAATTTAGGCATATTTTCTCTGTTTTTTTTTAAATAATTTTGTAAGTTTCTAAACTTGATACATGGTTATATTTAGAGTTTAATATTTGTAACTTTTATATTTTACTCAAATAATAAATTGGAGATTAATTAGTTATCCTCATTTCCTATAAAATCTAATATTAATTTTAAAGCATTAATAAATTGTATCTAGGGTCTGTGGTCACATTACTTGAATTATCATATACTTTTAATTTGATTTGTCATTACATCTTATGTAAAAATATTCCCCCTAGTGGGGGTAGTGGTTTGAACCCTTTAAAAACTTCTTATTTTACAATCAACCCCATCACTTGACAAAACACCAAAAGTGTTGAAACAAAATGACTATTTTTGTAGTGATGTTATAACATACTTCTGTTATAATTTTTAATAAATATTATTTGCTCTATTGAGCATGTTTTTGAAAAATAGTGTATTTGGTTACTGGAATTTTATTCCATCTATACCAACCATGTATTTGGATAACAGTAAATGCTAAAGTTAAAATGTTATTTTGAAAGAAATATATTTTTTAAGAATTCTGTATTTCTCATTGTATACTTTGTGTGAGAAGATACAGTCAAGCAATAAATTTGTTACATCTTTTTTATGTTTACCCAAATGTTAATTATTACTGGTTTATAGTTCTTTATCAAAAAAGAACAACAGTATGAATCCTGACATGGACTTAATTATCAAAACAATAGAAAAAAATATTTATATACAATAATAATGATGACTTGCTCCAATTGTTTTTTTATTATACTCTAATGTACTTAGACATATGTCCTAGCAAATAAAAGTGTTGGTTAAGTGAATTGAGTTGCTTGGTGGTTGTGAGTTCAATTTTGTGTTTGGTAGTGCAAAAGTTTATATACTCTAATTCAGTAGAAGAGACAAGTAATATAGCAAGGATGATAAACTAGGTAGAATTAATTGATACAAGATAACATTTAGCATGGTCAGTTGAATGGGAGAAATCTACTGTTGTGGGGTGAATAAAAGTTCAGCTTGAAATTGCCAGAAACTTCAACAAACATTTTTTTTAATTATTTCACCCTAAACAAGGCACTAAGATGCAAGGGGTTACCGAGTGTGAAAGAATATGAGAAAAAGGAAAATATTATTAAGCAATAAAAGAACAGGAATTAAAAAGACTGAAAAAGAACAAAGGGTATGATGACTGAAATGTGACAATAACAACCAAGATAAGGACATTAAATCAGCATATGATAATGATAATTCCTCATATCAAGGATTCAGTAAAACTATTACTTTTCTTTAAAAAACAAAAAAAAAAACCCAGAAAAACCCCAGAAAAACAGACTTACCAAAAAGGCCAACAATTGCCAGTGTCCGTCTTCCAAGTACATCAACTAACCATACACCAACAATAGAAAATACAAGATTAATACAGTTGATAAGGGCTGAGTTCCAGATAGCAGCACTCACATCTCCAACACCAGTCATTTTTATGATGATTCCACTGTAATAACTGGACAAAATAAAAAATAAGTGTCTTAAAAAGTGACATACACATAAAGACAATAAAGATAAAGTGTTGATATGATTATTATATGTTGGTTCTTTTGGACCAGTTTCTTTTTCTTTTTTTTTAACTGTTAGTTCACCCAATACAAGGCTCAAGGTTTTTTTTTTCATTTTTTTTTTTGTCTTTATTACTAAATTTCAGTTGCTGTAACCCCCAGCTAGCTACCTAAGTCAGCATATTATCAAACATTTCCTTGGAACGTGCTGTTCATATGCTCTAACTCTTCCTTTAGATTCTTGGGATCACAGTTGATAACATTTGCTTCATGTTTAAGGCAACAAATTCTTCCTTTCCTATCATGGAAGAGATGGTTTGAATTAAAATTCATGTATTACTGTATGTATGTTGGTTTTATATGCACCCAGGTACTGAAACTATACTTTGTCCAGACAACAAGGATGTCTAAGAAAGAAACTTGTCATTATGTGTTTTTCTCATTATGAATTGTAGAAATAAGCTGAGTTCACATGATCCAACATAAATTATACATCTTCTTGGTGGAGCCAAATGAAGTTAATGAAATATATGAGCACTTTACCATTGGTTGAGGTTATCAAGCAAGTTTTGCAGATCATCATTATTGCATTAAGTTTTATGAAGTTTTCATGAGATTAGTCTGACAAGTTTACAAGAGTATAGTGTTGCGGCGCTAAGCAGGTTGACTGTTAACCCCGCAAACAGAAAAATAATATAGGGTAATACGTTCGAAGCAAGGACAACAAAGACGAGGATGTAAAAGTTTAAGCCAAATTTTATTAAATAATCTGGCACAAGTATATACAAATAATCGTTTGTGGTAGTTCGGTCGTGCTGTGACGTTATTCTCCATACTGAGAAAATGGCTTCCAACTGCAGAAACCAGTTCTTGGTGTTCTGTTCGTTGTACGGAGGGAGGTTTGTGAGTGGCATTGCTACATTTATGAGAGTGTTCTGTTCCCACTCGTCAGTTGCCATCTTGCTCGATCGTAAATGTCATGGTCACCACTTGTTGCGGCGCTAAGCAGGTTGACTGTTAACCCCGCAAGCAGAAAAATAATATAGGGTAATACGATCGAAGCCAGGACAACAAAGATGAGGACATAAAGTTTAAGCCAAATTTTATTAAATAATCTAGCACAAGTATATACAAATAATCGTTTGTGGTAGTTCGGTCGTGTAGTTTTGAAGGAGCGTTGTCAGGTTTCAAGGCGACAGCTTGGAGGTGGGCCGATGGAACAGCGGTGTTCGAGGTCCAGTCGATCCCTGGATGTCTGTACTTGAGTAAAGAGCGCGTCGGCGCTTGAGGAGAGAGAGGATCGATGCGGACAGCGCTGGTGTAGTCAGTTCGTCCTTGGGTAGACTGTTGTGCAGGATCGCAGCTTGGTAGTCCTAATAAAAGGACGTTCGTAATAACGCGGCTAGATTAGTCCTGAAAAGGACTATTGCCTATTATGTAACCAGGCGTAGTCTGGAAAAAATGACTAGTGCATATCATGTAACCGAGGGTAGACTACTGCATATCATGTAGCCGAGTGTAGGCTAGTGCATATCATGTAACCGAGTGTAGGCTAGTGCATATCATGTAACCGAGGGTAGACTAGTGCATTTCATGTAACCGAGGATAGGCTAGTGCATATCATGTAGCCGAGGATAGACTAGTGCATATCATGTAGCCGAGGATAGACTAGTGCATATCATGTAGCTGGCTGGCTGCTGCTGATTGGAGCTGCGTCGGCTGGCTGCTGCTGATTGGAGCTGCGTCGGCTGGCTGCTGCTGCTGCTGCTGTTGCTGCTGAAGCTGGGCTGCTCTGCTGCTGCTGACTCTGGCTCCTGCTGCTGATGAAGCTGAGATGCTCTGCTGCTGCTGCTGCTGGCTCCTGCTGCTGCTGATGAAGCTGGGCTGCTCTGCTGCTGCTGGCTCTGGCTGCTTTGTGTGGTCAGCGAAGGTGAGAGGGGGAGCTCGTCGCTCAACCCCGAGGCCAAAAATCAGCTGGGAGAATTAATTTGGTGGAAGAAATCCGCTGTGTTTATATAGGCTGAGGTCGGCAACGTAGCCTGTCAGCGATATATTTGGGCTGATGACTGAAAATTACCTTCTACTTTTTGGCTGTACACATGGGTTCCATTCGGACACCATGTGTATATAAAGTAGTTTCTGGTAATTGTTTTTTGGTTAGGAAAGTTTGTATATGTAAATGTTTCGTTTTTTTTTAGTTCGTGAGAGACGTTGACTGAAAAACGCTGAGTCAACGGAAGTTAACGGCATTCGTTATGCTTTCCGTGGTGACGCTTTTAGATATTTGAGTAGCCGGCAGTAACTTCCGGCCGGGTGCGATAATAGCACTCTTGTAAACTTGTATCAGACTAATCTTTAAGTAGAAAATGATAAAGGCTCATCAACACAATAATAGCAAGATTGCTTTGTAGACCATTAATACTTCATTGGCTGCCCAGCACTTATGACTTTGTACCAGGCTAATCTAAGATTAGTAAATAATTAAATGTCATTGAAATTGAAAATATGCAGATATTTAACTATTTGGGATTGGGGTATCTTAGTCCAATTTCAGAGTGATGAAATATCTCATCAGCTGTTCCAGGACAATCATTTCCTTTTATAAATTGCTTTGAATCATGATGTTATTAAGATGTTTAGTTGTTTGTTTAGCAGCGTATCAACTTCTTATCAGCCATTTAATGCTGAAATTTAATTTTTTTGCAAACATTAGTAATTTCTTTTACAAAAATGTATTGCTGGTAAATTTTTGCTATGAAAATGTATTACTGGTATTTTTACTATAAAGTTTTTTACACTTTCATGATATTTTGGCCCCAGTTTGTGAGTTAACTATTTGCCCATAGCTGGAACCCTAACAGATGCAACCACCCTGATTCAAGGTGGACCTAGGAACAAAATCAATTAAGAAGTGGTTCTGCACTCCTCAAAAACTCTTGATCAGAGGCCTTGCTACTGGATGTAATTTAAGAAAACTGAAGATAAATTTTTAGGAAAAAAAGTGGGGGCTATAATAAAGCATGTAATCAGAATAAAGCAATTATAAGTATAAAAAGAGGTACTCAAATTTTTCAGGCTGATGAAAAACCTCTTAAAAAAATAAAAAGATAATGTTATTCATTCATTTGCTTAGATTAGTAAATCATTGCAAATAACTTTACTATAGACATGCATTATAATTGATTTTCTGCAGAAATATATTAAAACATCAAGAAAAAAAGAGATTGACAGAGGTTAGAAAATAAGACAAGCATTAATGGCAGAATAAAGCTATTATATGTACAACATAATTGTATTCTTAATAATTTTACTGTAGAAAGATTGAAAATAAGGTCAGTGTAGAAATACATTATAAAATATTTTACTATAGAAATGTAATACACATCAAGAACAAAAGTGGCCAGCATCTCCAGAACAAAGAAATTACTTTTCAGTTATCTCATTAGCTATTCTCTAGTTGTTAAATATGCATTTTTAAAAATATGATTTCCAATTTGTTGTTAACTGGGCCTGTTAACTTTAATGCCTACAAAATGAAACTGTCCTTTATTAATGATCTTAAAGAACCTTTTTTGCCTTCTGTCATCCTGGATGATACTAAACCTTCAAACAAGCAACTCACTGCATTTTCTTGCTCTTCTGTTTTCCACTGATATAAAGTGAAAAACGATTATATTGAATCAATTGCAACATCTGCTGCGAGGAAAGTTGGTTCACTATGTTGTGCTAGACAATTTTTCATGCCAGAATCTATCTTGCATATTTATAAGCCTATCATTTGTCCAGGCATTGAATATTGTTGCCACATCTGGTTTGCTTCTTCTGCTATATATCTAGAGAATCTTAATAAAATCCAAAGAAGAATCTGCAATATTATCAGTCCTGATCTAGCATCTAAACTTCAGTCACTTTCCAAATGCTTCAATATAGCTTCCCTATGCCTTTTCTATAAATATTTTCATGGCAATTGTTCTGATGAGCTTTCCTCTTTGCTATCTCAGCTATATGAATTTAAGTGAAGCAGCAAGGTCTTATAATTTCACTGTTGAAATTGCTAGTTGTCACTTTAAGCTCTATGCTTTTAGTTTCTTCTTCTGCAATTCTTATTTATGGAACTCTCTTCTAGCTTCCTATTTTATTGTCAACTCTGATCTTTAAAAATTTAAATGTAATATCAATCATTATCTTCTGTTTCCTTGAATACTGTTCTTTTATTGTCTTCTGTTTCTCTCTCTCTCAGTAACCCCCTTGCTTTTATCACCTTGCTTGGGGTGAGATGATTTAAAAACAAAAAACCTTTACTTACATGACAGTATTTGCCCCAGAAAATTGAGAAAAAAAATGCATTGCACAGCCAATAAGTAATGCTCGTCTCACAGATGGTGTTTTTATTATTCTCAAATACACATTTTCATTTCCTGTAACAAACAGTAAAACAAATAAATAGCATAGAGGAATTAATTAGCTTTTTGTTTTTCACATACACAAGGGTTGATAAATAAGACAGTATCGTGACATAATTATTAGCTGATTGTTGATCTGAACTTTTCACTGTAATATTTGATTCATGTAATTAATGGAGAAGCATTGGATTAAGTGCATGAACAAGGAAGGAGATTATAATAAATTATTATTGATGCACTTACATATAATAATAGTTAATTTTATAAAATTTTAATAAGCAAGAGAATTTTTTAAATTTAATTTTCAATTTTTTATAACTTTAATTAATCATGGTTTAATGTTCTTGCTATTCTTAATTTGATGAAGTATTTGAATATTTGACAGCATGACTTGACTTCAGAAGTTCATGGTAATAGTACACACCAGTATAATGCATCAATGTTAAAACATGGCTCTGAGAAAGAAAAGCATAAAATCCATTAGAGAGGCAGCAAAACCCAACTGTCAGTTTAACCTAAGAAAAGGAAACTTCAACAAAAAATAAAAAATAAAAATAAAAACATTGGATTAATACTGTCATCATACCTTGCTGGGATGTGACACATGAAGTCCTGATTTAAAGTATGGGGTCAGTGATATGCAACACACCTGCTCTCCTTAAAGCTTGAATATCATAAGCCTGTAAGCTATTCCATGTGTTTCCTGTAATACCAGTGTGCAAAACCTATAAAAGTTGTGTGAAAACTTTCCAAACTTTTCATTCACAAAGTGATGTTGCTAATCCTACTATGGGTTATTCTCCACATAGGTTCACCAGTTTCACCAAAAAGTCATTAGGGGGCGCTGTTGAGCAGCTATACAAATGGTACACTTTCTATCTTCTCTCTCTTTTATCTTTCTTTTATGCCTAGTATGCTTTAATGAAAATACCACCATGACCTTGTTCTCGAGCATTGGAGATAACTTTCCCCTTAATAACTGAACTTTTTCTCACATACACATATATATTGAGACATGTTTCATTGAATAATTTAGACAAGTTTTGTCTACTTATTTTCAGTTGGATCCTTTCATATTCATGGACAAGCTTTTGGTGTTGTTATTAAAGGAAGAGAGAAAATTGCCATGTTGATACATATTTTATTCCAAGTACTTTTGACATAGCACAATGTCATGATTAGGGTGTTGTTTTTTTCAAGACAAATATTGTAATGTTCACCATTTTCAAAGACAGAATTGTTGGGCTCATCTGAAAGTTAAATTTTTTACTTGTTAAGTGAAGAATGCTGTAGTATGTGACACTACTTCAGAGGAGGTAACTAAGTATGGTGTGTTGAGAGTTTTTAAAAAATAAGTATTAAAACTATTAGTGCAAATTTTGATATTTTAAACTATTGTACACATTTTAAAACATTTGTGCAGTATTCATAATTAATTTTATTAAGATTTGGGTTCAATTTTTTAATATAAATAGCTTTAAGAATTTTTAGTTTATGCTTATTATTTTCATGAAAAAGTATAGATGTATTTTCAACAAGAATTTTTCTGAATTACAAATATGGACAGGTTTGCTGTTGTAAATGTTTAGAATTATTGGACATATCATTGAAATGAAAACTCAGCCACCAAAACAATATGGTCATAGTATGTCCAATATAAATATTATTTTTTACATTGGAGATACAATCTCCCAGAGGACATTTAAATTTATAAATAATGCTGGTTTTCTGTAACATGTTAGTAGGTGGGGAAGAATCATTATGAATGATTGAATTAGATATACTAGATTTAGTCTAGTATATAATTAATTTTATTTTTTTACTAGGCTCTGTGGTGGATATATTAGTATTTAATTTTTAGGATATTTTTGCCTTGTTTATTATTAGAATGTATTTAGTTGCAATATAAAAGATTAATATGTTTGGGATTAGTTGAAGAATTCCTAACTTGTAATATCTTCTTTCTTTTGCATACATTCTATTGTATTTTCTGTATCCTTTTACTCAGTTACAGGGTCAGCATGTCTTACCCCCAGCTGGAAAGTAGGGGGCGTTTTTGGGGCCCTGTTGTGGCTGCTGCCATTTTTTTTTCAGCACTGTTTTATGGACATCTGCCATTTTTTAAAATTATTTTTAAACTGGTGTTACATTGTCAGTCATCAACTAATAATACACATCATGTATCTGCATGGATGATGCAGTGTGTACTACGCAGAAACCCCAATGAGGTTGGAACCTCATAAGGGCTAGTTTCAGCAACACTTTTTTGCTTTTTGTACTTTTTTTCTACCAAAGTTATATTATCAATCATCAACTGTAATAATCGACAGGACCAGTGCTTACGACCCAAAACCCCTCAACTGTGTACCCCATGCCTACTTCAGAAATGCTAATTTCAGCAGTGATTATTTTTTTAAATTGTAATTTTCTTTTAAACAGTTCTTTTAAACCAATTATGAATTTATTTAGCTATGCATTGTATTAGAGGAAAAACATTATTTTTTTTTTTTTTTTGGTGCAAATGCATGGGGAGGAGAAGACCCTAGTGCTGACCCTGCTCAGTTATAAAAAAAACAAAAATATAAATTATTACGTTGTTGAAATTTATTCTATTTCCTTACACCGATCACTTACATGTGCAAAATATTGTTGCCACTGCCTTTAACTAGGAGCAGTGCATGCAACACTCTCAAAACAATATTATTACGATATTTATTAAAACTAAAAGATTGAACTTTATATTTTTAAAAAGTAGAAGAGGCAAATAAACATTGGATGTGTAACACAGACAAGACACTTGTCTGGTGCATTTATAAGCGATGCAGTCATTTCATTTTTTTATTTATTTGGATTAATTTCCTTGAGGCTCTGCGAACAGTCCCAGAAATAAGAGAGCTGGTGAATTCACATAGTTCCCTGGAAGGTCAGGAGTTCAACATGTAGGTCAAGAGATGATAAATTTCAAGAGTTCCCAGACAGAGATACAGGATGTAATGTACATGAAAAGGGGAATAAAATCTTCAACACTCTGAACTATGTCTAATATTCTAAAATTTCTTTTGCAAAAAGAACAGACACCTAAGAAAAATCTGAGGTCAATTATTATGAAGTTTTTGATTAAAAAAAAAAAAAATGATGATAGGTATGAAAATTCATCTGAATGAAATGAAATACAATGAACAAGACCATTTCTACCTATGAAAAAATTTAGTGCTATTCATCTGTATTTAAGATGGTGTGTATGTGTAATATTTAATAATTTACGTAATTAAATTCATAAGTATTTGATTTTGGTATGTGACCTACATTGAAATTGATCCAGAAGGTTTTCTGCCTACCCATTATATTAGTTCTGAAATTTACAAATTGCTGAAATTTACAATGCTGACTTTGTTGGCAGAATGCATAAGAGATTGAAGACACGGAACAAATACATTCCAGCCAATATTCACAAAGGAAAGGTGGACAGTTTACATAGGTGTGTTAATGTGTCAGGTTCATTGATAGTTGTACATTTGATTAAAAATCAGCAGTATGCTCAGTCTTATATGTTCTCAGTGCTGAGTAAGGCTAATAACAATTATAATCTGAAGGTTTTGGAATCAGTATATATATTAAGTCCTACCAACCATCTTTATATAAACAGAAAGAGCAGTTGGTGGGCTTAAATTGGCCTTTAATGTTATATTTGTTGTTTGTATATAACATTAGTCTGGGGTTGTACATTTTTTAGTTGTTGTGTACATTTTTTGTGCTGATTTTCACTCTAATGTGAGAAGACTGATAAACTGGTGTAGCTGTTTTAATCATTATTATATTTCGGTATTACCAATTTACGGTAATATATATTTTTTCTTACCCCTTTTTTTACTATGATTTTTCTTGTGCTAATGTTTTTTTTATAGGAATAAACTTAGAGAATAACTTTACTATAGAAATGCATTGTAAATGATTTTACTATGGACATATAAAGAAAAATCATGGGAAAAGGGATTGCCAATGGTTAGAAAATATGACAGACATTACTGATGGAATAGGAGGGGATAATCCTAATATAAATGCATTGTTAATAATTTTACTATAGAAAAAATCTGCAAATGATTTTGTTAAAGGAATGCATCATGAAAGCTTTTATTATTAAAACTCACTCCAGGTGGTTAAATTATTATGTCTTGCTTAGGCACTTGCACACCATTAGAATTCTCTCCAACTGACTCCAATGGACTTCCCTGACTCACCAGGGGTTCTTTATTTAAGGCATCTTGCCTAGTTCATTTGTGTTACTGTGGGCATACTATTTACTCCAGAACATCCCCACTTTTGAGATTTTTTTATTTTATTTCTTAGTATTCGCCCCTCTTCTTTCTGGTGAGTTCACTAACATACTGGACTTTGTTTTCCATATGTTTCCTTTTTCTAACTTGTATGTTCAATGAATTCTTGGTGTTGGTACATCAAAAGTATCATACAGTACTTGCATGTTCTTCCTTTCTTGCAGGCTTTTCTTCAGTAAACCTTCTCTTTAGCTGTTCCAATGCCTTTTGTGTTCCCATTTTTTTCCTTTTACCATACATAATATTTTTTCAATTTATAACCTTATTACACTATTTTTCCACATTTCTTTTCCATTTTTATATAATCAGAAAAACACTTTCTTGCCAATTTTTGAAAATTTTGTTTCCTTTTTGTTATCCATTCTTATTCTTTTTGACCTGGTAATATCAATTCTGCTGGTGACATGCCTAGATGGTGTATTGGGATTTGGCATTATCCAGTATACTCTCAAGAATTTTTGTAGTGCTTCTTTGCTCACTTTTTTATTACTTGCTTTTTTCAAAGGTCTTTTAAAAGTACCCACAAACCATTCAGCTTGTCTGTTTCGCCTTTGGTTATATGGTGTCCTAGTAATATGTTCAATTGAGAACATTTTACAAAATTCTTTAAATTCGTAAGCAATGAATTGGGTACTGTTATCCAAGACTATGCCATCCAGAATGCCATATCTTGCAAACAGT